TCTACGGCCCGAAATGTACACATGTATGAGGCAAAAAGGTTCTCTCTGACCACTAATGCCACCGGGTATCATGTCATCAAGAAAATTTTGATTAGTATGCTTGTTATTACAATAATTATTGAAAGAATACAAAGAAGGGTACCTTCGTCTCACCAGCCCAGCCTGACGGTGAATCCATCTGAAGTGTGTTGCCCAGTTTGCACACACCACGTTGAAGCACCCTATTCGCTTCTCTTATAATCCGTTTTTTTCAGCTTGTTTTTTCAGCCGGAACAGTGTTTTTCTCTCACAACAAATCAGCCGAAACAGTATTTCGGCTTATTTTTTCAGCGAAGCGAACGGGGCCAAACCGGCCCATGGATCTTTGTCTGATGATATTAATGTTATTAACGGAAAGGAAAATTTTGCCTATGCTACTTCATGCAGTATCGTTAGCCGTTCTAGCTATTCACATATCTGATTGTACAACTATCCCTAGTTTTCAGTTCTATTTTTTAGCTATATATAGTGCTAATTTGAATATGAAACTTTGACAATTGCTATATATTCAAACGTACAGTTATTCAGACTTTTTACAGATCATTGTATTTTTGTATGGATGGTGTAGTTAGAGATAGCTGAGACTTAAGACGACGGCATAAAATATATAAAGATGAAACCATGCTTGAAGATATACTTATTTCAGCATGCAAGTATTGGATTTAACCTATAGTAAAGGCCAGGTGGTTAGATGAGTCATTCATACTCCATCAAATAGTTATCTTTTTAGTTCTCAGAACAACTAAAAATTTAAGATATAAATAATTAAAAAAATGAATCCAGCTTGCAAGATTGCAGAGTAGTTTTGCCTTGCCTAAATGGTAACTTATGACTTATGAGCATCATAAAACTTAATAAACAGATCTCACCTATGATCCAATAAGCAACGTACTCTGCTGTAATTTATAACCCTTATTTATGTTACGAGCTCATTGATTACTCCTAAATAGGAAGTATTAGTAACATCATTAGATCACTAAAATGGATATGTAATCAGCTTAGCTTTCTCTCCCCAATCGAACAAAGTTGGGAAGTATGGTGTACAGCATAATTGAGGAGGTGCATTTACACCTGAAAAAAGAACGAAAAATAAGATGGTGAGCAGACCATTTCTGGATTGAGGAACAAGACACTATGAGAAGCGGTGCATGGTGCGTGAAGAGACTGTCTGCATCAGCTTCTATAGAACCTCGATGTCCAGCCGCATCCGCTTGGCTGATAGTCACCGTCCCATCAATTGCACTGAAATCACTGAACTCATGTCAATCTTTGTACAACTGATAGAGATGGGGACTATATAGAACAGCAACCAAATATTGAAAGGGAAAAAAGAAGAAGAGAAAAAGACGCATATATTGTGCCCATTTCACCGAACAGGTTGAGGACATCATCCACGAAAGCATCGACGCCGGCAATGAGGTCGACGGTAGCCGACAATGGGGAGCACACGGGAGCAAGATCAGGCACAGAGGCTGGAGATGCCGTTGCTATCGGATTTCAGGGTTTGGTGATCCTTTCCACGTGACGCAGGCGGGATGCGCGAGAAGCCTGCCCTCCAGCACCGAGAGCGGGGGCGTCCGCGGCGCAACGTCCGCGGGAGGAGTCAGCGACTGCTAGACGTGGTCGGAGCTTGGGGATGAGGCCGGCAGTGGTGCGGCGGGACTGCTGGAATCGGAGAGGCAGCGGTCGTCGAGGTTGGCCCAACTGGAAGGCTAGCGGGAAGAGGTGGTGGGCTAGTGGAGGTACGCCTCCATCTCCATCTTGCTGGATAACTGCAGTCCGCCGTCCGCAGCAGTCTTTAAGCTCCGCCGCCGCCAGCAGGCGTCGGGAGGCCTTGGTGGCGGCCAGGGGTTGACGGCAGGGGGAGCTGCTGCAGGAGCACGGCGGCATGTGGTGGAGGGGATGAGTCGAGGGTTCGCGACTCGCGAGGATATCCAAGCGTCTGGTTTCGTGGCGAGTCGCAGGGGAAGGCGGCGGGCGCAGAGAAGAGGGACGAGCGCGGCGGCTGGCGGCGCATGAGGACGAGCGAGTGCAGCAGTCCGAGGCGGAGGGGACGAGTCCTCCGTCCAACGGGTTCGTGAGCATTCGCGATGGCCCGATTTTGCAGCGCAACGGGTAGAGACCCGGAAGGCCCGATCTAATGGTCGATGTCGGTTGTTTGCCAGATCGAACGGTTGATGGGTTAACGGGTGACTTTAAAAGGCCTGGATTGAGGGTTGATTTTGGTAAAGTTCGAGGATTTTTTCGAAAAACAACCTGAGAGGAGGCTTGGACTCGAATTGATTTGACTAAAGTTTGAGGGCTTTTTTTTCAAAAAGGGCTTGCACGATCTGGGCCGTCCGCGCGGCTGATCCGATGGTCAAGAAAAGCAGGCGACGTGGCCACGCTGCCTGGCCCTCTTTTAGGTGCAGGATTCCTATAAGAAGACAGGGCTTGGATGTGCTCTGAGTTGAAGCTGTTGGGGGGCGGCGGCTTGACTCGGCTCGGATGCGGAAAAGTGGGATGGGCCCAAGGGTTTTCCTCCTCCGTTTTGGGCTGAATTAGACGTGGGCCACTTGGCTCATCCCCTCAGACTTTGATCCCCATGCGCCGCGGCCCGCATCCTGTGCCTGTCTTCTTTCTTAATTTGATGAACGCTTTGAAGTCCAACACAATTTTGCGTTATCATGATAAAATGTAGCTATGCAGCCACTGAAAACTAGAATACCATTATCAGGCCTAATCTTGTACTCAAATGGATTTCACCAAATTATTGATATTTTGGCTGCTATACTTCTCTTTTTTTTTAAAAAAAATAAAGGTGCCATGCTTTTGAGACCATATTAAAACTGAAAGGATTGTTGTAAAAAAACTAAAATGATCTTCTTTTGGGAAAGCCAACTTGAATGCAAATGAGGAGGTGGGCTGGCAAGCACATGAGAGGAGTAAGGTAATGCAAATGCAGTAGTTAAAAACTCAGTATGTCAATTTCCACATTTTTTTTATCGGTGCGAGCCTATGGAAATAATCTAGGGGAAAGACTAGCCTGGGCCGTGGCGGTAGTGTGCGTAGAGCTTCATCGACCATGGGTGGTGTCCGGGGACAGGATGTTGGTGGCCTGATAACAATAGGCCAGGATTGGGAGTTTGGGGGAGAAGAAGAGCAGGGAGCAGGATGCGGACGAGGTCTGTTCTTCAGTAGACGAGCGCGAGTTTGTTACAGATATCAGAGATTATTCCATTACAATTTACACGGGTTTGTATCCGCACGCAGGCAACAGCTGTGCGCTCAGAGGCCGGCTCGGACACGGCGTTGCTCCCACTTGGGCCGATGACGCGCGGATTGGGCTTCCTGGGCCTGGGCGTCCTTCCATGCATATAGCCGCATAGGGAATAAATACTGCTTTTCTTTTGCACATTGCCTTTTTTTTTTAAGATCTGGAACATAACCGACATATATTAATAAGATGATGAGAGAGTTACATGCACAAACAGTGCAAACAGCTTCCCAAAATTGTACAAACCATCTTCTAACTAACCAAACCGACTACCAACCATTTTCTTCCGACACCTCTGCCTAAAACTTGCATGCAAGAAGTTCCATCTGATTCTCCAAGACAATTCCTTAGCCACTATGGGTGGCTTCATGGTGCTTTTGTACATTGCTGGTGCCTTGATATAGGAGTAGATAACAATGAAAGGAGTCAATTATAGCGAAGTTTTAAGACATTTGGGGGTATGGATTCCATCTTTTGTGATGTTCAGTGTTATGCAACCTAAATATGTATGTTCAGTTGATTTGCCTCACGAAATGTGAAATACTAAACCCACAGGAGAACATCTCTCAGGCTTTGCTATATCTAGGTATTCCATCCATTCTAAATTATAAATCATTCTAACTTTTTTGGAGAATCAAAACACCTTAATAGTTTGATTAAAATTATAGATAGAATTACAAAAATTTATGACATCAAATAGGTATACTATAAAAATATAATTAATGAAGAATCTCACGGTACTTATTTGATATCATAAATGTTATTATTTTAATTGGTATCATAAAGCGTTTGTCTCACAATGGCCTTTTGGATACTTTTATAAAGAATGGTTTGGGTTATGTTTTGAAAAAGATAGGAATCGGTATGAATTTGAGTGAATTGTTGATTTGTAGAGGCGACTGGACTAGCTGCGTCTATAGAGACTTTCCAGCCACTTTAGTGTCTTTTTGTAGAGTAGCAGTAGTTTTCACAAGAATAAATTAAATCTATCATACAACAACTTGACTGATTGGTACAGATTATTAATTCAATAATTTGTAAACTGCTCAAATACCAAAGACATTTTTGCCAAATTGTATGTCTTGAAAGTGGTATGGTGGGAGTGGAGAGTATAATTTGCCTTGATCTCCAGCCTCCAAGCATATTAACATCCCACGGGTACACAAATGACGCACTTACATCTCCATCACGGTACATGCACACACAGTGCCGCCGCGCAATTACAGGGCCTGTTCGGCAGGACTGAAAAATACTGTTTCGGCTGATTGTTGTGAAAGAAAAATACTGTTCTGACAGGACGTGAATAGTGATTTTGTGAGGTGGCTGGCCAGCCGACAATCAAACAGCCAGCCAGCCGAACACAGCCACAGTTTTTATCTTATCGACGTACTTGATTAGCTAGAGCCTAGAGGCGCCTTGTTGTTCAAAAGGAAATTATTAATCTTATTAGAACAAGGTTAATAATACAACCAGCTGCTGGCTGTATGAATCCTTGCAGTCTACTTCTCTCAGCTCACCCATATAATAGTTACATTTTTATTATTAATACATGGCTCATTTATCTCTCTCACAGAGTTTCTTAATTTTCGTGTTCAAGCTGGCTGTAAACTTACATCCCGCTTCCTCTCTCTCCATCTCTCCTCCGCCTGAGTATTCAGCCTGCTTGCCATCCTTATTATACTCGCTCTTGCAAGCACGCTGATCGTCATGGCGCTCCGCCGCCGCCGGCGGCGGCGGCAGCAGCAGGAGGCGGTTTACATGCGTAGATTCTTGTGCATGGGCGGCCAGTGTATGGCTGGCCACGAGGCACGGAAGGCGTGCCGCCGGGGATCAAGGCTCCGTAGCTCACCTCCCCTAGCGCTCTCCCTGTACGCACGAGCAGCCAGTTAGCGCTCTCCGTGCACATGCGTGTCATGTAACAGCAGGACAAACATGCGTGTAGCTTCACAAATGAATCGTTTCGGCGTAGAACTTTTGATGCTAGTGTGTTTGTGGCTGGAGTAGTAAGCTGTAAGGTGCACCTACCTGCGGCCACGTGGACAACATCCATGGTAGAGACGACGAGGAACGCCATCAGGAACATCATGCAAAGCTGCTGCCCCCTCCCCATCTTCTCTCTTCCTGGTCGATTTCCTCTGCTTTTATTCTACTTCCCTCTATGATCTCAGCTCTGCGGAATGATGCGCACACTTCACTGCACTTTTATACAGAGAGCAGTAGAGCACAGAGGACTGAGGAGCCCGCCCTGCCCTTCGGATCTTCGCCTAAGGCGTGGACCCTGAGTCAACCCCGAATCAACAGCACTTATTTTCCTTTGTTTTTTTGCCCGAGCCCTCTTTGGCCAGATATGCAGGCACGCCACTTGCTTCCAAGGTCAAGGAGAGCGACATTGTTGTTATCCCCCATCGGTCCATCCTGGTGGCGTGACTAGCCGCAGACTCACCATGTTTTACATTATCGCTATTTTTTTACCTACGAGTGGTCACTGATAAACAGAAATATGGAAAATATCATAAAACTATAGACAATAAGAAAATTTTTGGCTAAAATTATATAAAAAATATTAATTTGTAGAGAAAATCACGTCGAATATGTTCAAACCATTTGACACAAAATTAACGCAGAATAGCATAGAAATTTGAGGATATAACACTTCGGAGCTCGGTGCACTACTGAGAGAGAGCATAGATGGCTTGGAAAGGAAGAGAATCACCGACAATATGATAGGTTTTTACGGTTAAAGTATTATAGGATTCTTCACTCCATTTTGGGATGGCGTGGCGTTCGTGAGCTGAAATTAGGGTGCGTCAAAATTGAACTAACAAATTGTTTGATGATACAAGATAAACATCGGCACATATCAATAGTACTGAGATATCAGAAATAACAATCTTATATCGATAACCCTGCTCGCAGCAGCATCCATTGCTGCATTATTCACCGTAAGATCAACATAAGCTGATTTGGGGATTTTGATATTCCGCTCGGGTGCGAAACAAGCACGCACCTGGCAGTTCTGGGGAGTCATCTAAATTTCACAACCAGCCTGTTGAATAAATAGACAATTTGATAATTAACCTACCATTACCCTTATTTTCCAACACCATTTACTGATCCCTCCTTCGGCCGCGTCGACCTGTTTTCGTGTCCGTCAGATTTCACAGCAACGGTCGCAGCTTCACCACCTGTGCTTCTTCGAGAAACCTCTTTACCAGGCCCGATGAAAAATAGTCCTCGCCCCATCTCCGCCGCCGCATTAGCGTCCGCGGGCTCCCACCGCCTCCCCTACCCCCATCCGCATCTCCTCCTCCTCCGCCGCACGTCGGCCGCCCGCCGCGCGCCATCCCCGCCGTCCGTCGATGGGCCCCCGCGCGGCAGCACCGGGGCGAGCCCTGTCTGCGCGGACGCCTCCAATCCTCCATCGCCGCTCGACCGTCAGGAAGACGGATCCGTCCTGGCCCCTCCGTTGCGGCATGTGGCCGTACGAGCACGAGGGCGCTCGGCCGTGAACGCCGGCCATGGCCTTGCTGGTGCCAGCAGCGCAGGTAAGTGAAAGCTTTCGACTTTGTTCAGGTCCACCTATGACAAGAATATTGCGGAGTCGCCACGATGCTGAGTTGATTCATGGAGCCAATGCTGCTATTTTCTATTTTCTACAGAGTCTAAATTTCTTATACTGTCCAGGTGAGTAGTAGCTTGCAGATTTTGAATTTTGATTTTCACAGGAATGATAAATGCATTTAAGCTTATCCAACCTATGAAGGACAAATACCCAGGTATCACTTACGCTGAGTTGTTCCAGTTAGCAAGTGCTACGGCGTTTGAGGTCATTGTCCTTTAGTCATATGTTTGGTCAATGGCATGATATAGGGAGTTGCTGATCCGAAAATAATTCCAATGACAAATGGACGGGTTGATGTCACGGTAGCTCAGCAGTGTCCACATGAGGAGAGGTTTCCTGGTCAGTGTTTCCAGTGGGTTCTTCATTCCATATCAATGTCTCCTTATTGTTTTGTTCAGTGCTTGGAATGTGACTTATGAGAGGTACCTATCAAGGTTGACTAAGTTGTTGTTAATGTACATGTTCTGCAGATGCTGGCCCATGTGATCCTACTGAACTCCTTCGGGAGGTATTCTATACAATGGGCCTTGATGACAAGGTGTGGCAGTTTTGAAACTTACTTAGCTGTCTATCTGTATTTTGTTGACCTATGTCATTTAACTTTCAGGGCATTTGTGCAGGAAATTGTTGCACTATCTGGAGCACACACATGTGGGAGACCAAGGCCTGACCGGAGTGGCTGCGGAAAGCCAGAAACAAAATATGTTGTATGTTTTTATGGTCTGCCCGCTTCAGTTTAAATAATAAACAATAGGTTATTTTCAGTAGTACGGAGTTTTTATCCATGCTCGAACTGTCTGCTGTCCATTATTCTGTATTTTGAAAATGGAATGCACACTTTGCTATCATACTGTGTGTTATGTGGCTGCTAGGATTGAGAGGGAGAGAGCTATCATACTGTGTGTTATGTGGCTGCTAGGATTGAGAGGGAGAGAGAGCTGAGGGAGAGGCGGCGACGAGTGGGCTACAGTACCCGCGGAGCTACAGTAAGACAGGTACTGTTCACGCCCGTGATTGTGGCTGCTGGGGCTGCGAGGGATGCCGGGGGTCTTGCCCACGGCTGAGCAAGAGGGAAGGGATTTTCTTAATTCTTGCTTGATTAGATCGATACATCTCCTCTTCTTATATAGAGAGGTTTACTTGACTCCTAAGCAAGGTTTACTTGACCCTTAAGTAAGCGACCATTATCTCTAATTAACCCTAACACTAATGGGCTATACAGCCAACCCAGACCTAATAGGCCCCTGACGTACTCTAACACTACACCCCACCTAGACATGCAGCTCGTCCTCGAGCTGCAACCTAACCAACGTAGAACGCTGACTTGACTCCTAACACCTACAAACAAGCCTTTTACATCTTGGCTTATTTTATTATTCTCAACCTAAAATGGACTGGGACTCTTTATTTTGACTTCTGAACATAAGGTGGACACCATCCGCACGCCAAACCTGCATGTGTACAGCCTCCTGGATCCCATGGACACCATCTAGGCGAAAGGGTACATGTGTATGGCCACACAGAAGTGGTCGCAACAACGACCATGCGATGGCGCTTCTGTGCAGTGCGCTCTCATTTGGTGACCCCACGCCTTCTCCCCGCCAGGCAATTTGTTATCCACACCGCATGAGAGAAGAGCGGAGGGCTTTCGATGGAGAATGAGGTTGAGGATCGCCTCCCCCCCACCACCGCCCGCATGAGAAAATAGCATGCCCGCCGCCTTGGGGAAAGCGCATGCCCGAGATCCCCGACATACAGACGAGATCGAGGTCCTCCGCGCAGTGAAGCGCAACTTGGAGGAGCTGCGAATGAGTGCAGGGCTGAATCAGTTGCAGATCGCGCATCTCCCGCACCCGTCGACGTGCTAGGAGGCAGCGTAGCGACTGCGGCCGCAAGACCGCAGTACGACACTGGCGGGTAAGCATCTTCCCGCCGACGTCATCGCGATGTCCATCGGTTGCTCAATCTCTTTGCAACTTCTCACCGTGGATCGGGATCTGCTGGGCGCCGGTTATGGAGACGACTGTCGTCCCATAGCCTGGCCAGCCGTAGTGCGAGGTGAGGAAGGCCCTGATGTCCGCCACGGCCTGCCCTAATTCTAGGATTGCGGCCGTCATCTGCTCCGGGGTGAGGACGAGGGAACTCGGTAGAGGGCTGGACATGATTGAACCAGAGATCTCTGATACCAGATTGTTATGTGGCTGCTAGGATTGAGAGGGAGAGAGAGCCGAGGGAGAGGCGGCGACGAGTGGGCTACAGTACCCGCGGCGCTACAGTAAGGCGGGTACTGTTCACTTCCGTGATTGTGGCGGCTGTAGCTGCGAGGGATGCCGGAGGCCGGCCGGGGGCCTTGCCCACAGCTGAGCAAGAGGGAAGGGATTTCCTTCTTAATTCTTGCTTGATTAGATCGATACATCTCCTCTCCTTATATAGAGAGGTTTACTTGACTCCCAAGTAAGGCTTACTTGACCCTTAAGCAAGCGACCCTTATCTCTAATTAACCCTAACACTAATGGGCTATATAGCCAACCCAGGCCCAATAGGCCCCTGACGTACTCTAACACTGTGACTTGCAATTCCTGTGTTACTTTACCTTACAGTGGAGTTACTTGATTAGACTTGATAACTTCTATACTCTCTCCTTTTGCTACGTTTAGTGACAAAATATAATCAAGCTACAAAAACTTACCTCATAGCCTATCCTTAGTGTTCTACATAAATATTGCCGAAAAAGCCTAAACTTAAATTAATCTGAAATATGAGGAAGCTGTGATTGGTTTGGGCTCCCAATAAAGCCTTTGATTTTGTGCCGCTGAAAAAACTTGCAATTAAAGAATAGTTTGTACAGAATTGCTGGAAAAATTAAGGGAGGATGCTTCTAACTTTGCACATTCATGTGCAGAATACAACACATCAAGTGCCACAAACAAGGAACTCAACTTCAGTCAGTTGCATATGTGAAGCGTTTGAGATGCATAGAGATCATTACTGATCTCTCAGTGTTTTATATCACATCAGCAGGTTCGATGTACCACTTTCCCAGTATATACTATGACTTCATAAATCTTCTAGCGTTCACCAACCTTTCTGTAGAACAGCCTATCACACTGAATTTTAATTGAAGTTCTGCAAATAGTTCAGACAACTACAAGTCTAAAGTGCATTTCCTATTAAAAACAGATGTGCGTTATCACATTATCATGAAAACCATATAGTGGGTAACTCTGTCAGTATAAGTGATGATTGGGTGCAAACAGCAAAAAAAAAAAAAAAAAAGATTCTTTTGTCTTCTGGTAATATGTTTCAAACATAGCATACCTTTTCTTTCGGTATTCACAGGTAACTAAAATATATGATTCAACAGTTTAAAAAGCACAGAGCTCTGCATCAATCGTTTAGCTTTTGTTTCTACTAACTTTCTAGATGTGTCCATCCAGATTGTGTTGTGAGTTTCTCCATAAATTAGTTAACAAAAATGCAGAGGTGTCCATTTGGATTTTTTGTCTTGTGGTAATATGTTTCAAACATGGCATACCTTTTCTTTCGGTATTCATGTCTAACTACAATATATGATCCAACAATTTAAAAACCACAGAGCTCTGCATCAAACGTTTAGCTTTTGCTTCTACTAATTTTCTAGATGTGTCCATCCAGATTGTGTTGTGAGCTTCTCCATAAATTAGTTAGCATAAATGCAGAGGTATCCATTTAGTTATTGACTACAGCTTCCTTTTTCACCATGTCAGTTGACCCAAGTTGTGTGCTAGGTGGACCAGCTTAATTTGGAGCATTCTACAATGCTTAGCTAATGCTGCTTCAGTTCAGTGAATCCAGATATGTAAAGCTTTCGACCATTCTAGAGTGTTTAGCTAATGCTGCTTCAGTTCAATGAATACTAATCCAGGTATGTAAAGGTTATTGTTGTTGCTGTATTGCATTCCTCTAAATTGCCCAAATGTATGCCTTTTGCGGCTGATAAATTGGTACCTATTGTTGCTTTCCAAATTTACTCTGTATATAGACTTTCAACATAATCAATATATCCTGATCGGCCGTGCTCCTCCGGCTACAGCTGCACACAACCAGTACACTCTACAGGGATAAGCAGTTTGGTGTCTGTAGCGACAATTGCACCTACACAGAAAAGGCCAGCCGATCAGGGCTCAAAAAAGTTACCTTACCTCTTTAATACTATAATAGTTTTCTGTCTACATTCTCAATCTTAATGTACTCTGTTCCAAAAAAAAAAAATCTTAATGTACTCTCCTTGCCATAAGGGAACATGACCTTATAGACTGGATATATTTATGTGCCATGCCCACAAAGGCCAAAGCAGGAAGACTTGAGATTTTACTGAAGGAGAGATGTCAATATTGTTTCAGTTATAATGAAATTTGAATCACACTTTCATGCTTATGATGATGATAACTGCAATAGAATACAAGTTGTTATTTGGTCTCTTTTTCAATTGGATTAGATCGTCTCAATATATATGACAAATATTTACCTAAAGTACATATTTTTGGCTCAATTATGTTGTCTTGATAAAAGTTGTTTGTTAGAGTCACATATATTGCTGTCGTAGCACCCGAGGCAACGCGTGGGGTTCCTGCTAGTTTCAAAACATAAATCATAGCAACCGTAGATACTAGTACATAAATCTCTAACATACTAGTCAAATCGAATCGCATCAACATAAATAGTACTCCAGCAGACACAGATGTCATGGCAAGTGCTCGAGGAACGACGATGTTATTAAAGACAATGGCGAAGATGGGACTTTGGCATTTCACCCATCATGAGAAACGGGTTTCGTAGTTTTACCATCCCTCAAATTGGTTTTGCTATTTTGCCATTATGAAATGGATGCAACTCGCTAAAATACATTCGTGGTAGTTTTAGTTCGTGGAAAAAAAGAAGACGCCTCCTTTCATTTCTGTAACTTCCATCAGAACGGATCGAACACAAAACGGATCGGCTCTCTCCTCCATCCCCAGCGCTGGCCTTCTCCACGCCGCCCCCTCCCCTACCGGCACCGCCCTGCCACCACGCTGCTCCCCTCCCCTGCCGGCACCGCCCTGCCACCACGCCGCTCTAGGTGCCTCATCCCACCTCCGTCCGGCCATCCAGGTGCTGCCTCCCGCCTCCTCCCAGCCATCCAAGCGCCGCCGCCTCCCTAGGCCATCCAAGCGCTGCCTCCGCCCCAGGCAAGCCTCAGCTCGGCCCTAGGCCGTGGGCCAGGCCTGCGCCCAGGTTGCCACGCCAGGTTGGCGCGTCCTCAGCCGACGCGTCCCCTAAGCTGGCGCCCCCCCATGGATTGCAGTTGGAGTGATCTAATTCCTCGGTATGCACTCTCTCTCTTGTATTTGTAGTCCACGAACATAGTTCGAAACGCTGATAGAGTTGTTCGAATAGAAATTTAACTACATTTCTTGCATTTGCTTTATCCAGGCTCGATGTGGAGCCTGAGCTTAGATTAGATTCTGTAGCAGACACTTGTGATGTTGGTCATAATGCAAAGTGTAAGGAAAATGGACCCTAGGCCCATTTACTTTGGATTTTGATGCTTGATGACCAACACAACCAAATTGGACTAATGAATTTGCAAGTGATTGTTTTGTAGTTCAATAGGATGCAAGACGTGACTTAAACAAATGCGACGTGATGATCCGATGATCAACACCTCAAGCAAGACCTTAGGAGTACAAGAGAAGATTCAAGATATCAAGCAAAGTCCAAG